GTGGTGCTGGGTGAGCGGGCAGTGGCCCAGCCGCCCTCCTTCGCCTGAGGCGCTGGCCGCCTGCACCTGGCCCTCCAATCCTGCAGTCACTCCCGACCGTGCAAAGGCACCCCCATGCCATCCGCACCCTGGGGTGCACGTCAATCAGGGAAGGGGTGGCTTGCTCGGCCCTTGGCCTTGCACTAGGAACTCCTGGGATCCTCAGGGCTGGGGTGACACCGCCATGGTGGCCATCAGCGTCACTTTGGCTCCACACGGGGCCAAAGGCCCTTCTCCCTTTTGAGGGGTGTGGGGGGCGGGGCGAGTGAAGGTTCTCCCTGCTTTTATGAAGGGGTTTTATGAAGATTTTTGTACGCGATGCTTTCAAAGCCTTAACTGCCATTGTCCAGCATTGTCTTGTTTGCCTCAAAATACACTGGCCGAGCACACACATGCAAGTTTTGTTACAGCCGTTACACCTGTTTAATAAACTTGCGTTTTGATCAAGCCAGAGAGTCCTTCTCTGGGGGGCGGGCCCGCTGGCTGGAGCCGGCTCTGCCCGCTGCGGAATGTGGTGTAGAGCTGCCACCCGTGGGGAACGTGCCCTGGTTCAGAGCACGAGGGTAAAGGCCTCCTCTGGGCAGGACGGCGGGGCCTCGCAGCCTCGGAGCTGAACGCCGCTCCCAAGGCAGTAGCCTGGGCCTCGGAGTGCCCTCCGTCCCTGGCCTGGGCCTCGGAGTGCCCTCTGTCCCTGGCCTGGGCCTCGGGGTGCCCTCTGACCCTGGCCTGGGTGGGGGTCTGACGCGCAAAGGGCTGTGCTCTCCCAGGAAACTTCCCACAGTCGCTGAGACTGAGGCCAAGGCGCTGGGTGAGTGGCAGGTGCCCGGCGTGGGGTTCGGGGCGTCACCCCGAATGGCGGCACCTGGAAACAGCAGAGGGGGAGGCGCTGCAGCGCCCTGTGCGGGAGGGAGGGCTGGAGCAGGCCAAGGAAGCCGGAGCAACGGGGTGGCTCAGTGGTTAGAACCTCCCCGGGGACTCAGGGGCCCCACCCTTGGGCGCTTGTGGGAGCGGCCGGTCCGTGTCTGTCTACCTCTCCTCCTCCCTCTCTTTCTAACAAATCCATGGGAAACAGCCACCGATGAGGATTAACAAAAACCAAAACAATGGCCTCTTCATGCTCCTCGCCCGGCCCAGACCCTGCGGCCCGCCCGCCCCTCTAGGCCCCTGTTCTTTGTGCAAATGAATGTGGGAGCTTCCTGCTCGGTCCCAAGTGAGAACGCCCGCGCGGGCTTCTCCTGTGCACCTGTGGGTCCGTGTGACGGTCCCGC